CCTCATTCTTTTTCCTGCAGAGCCATGGAGGTCCCTGCGGGGCTGCCTACTGGAATGGAGCCCTCTGCCTCACCCGCTGCTGCAGCTCTTCCCAGTGAGCCACAACCACCACCAGCAACACCAGTACAGATCATGGTACTGAAGGCGCAGGACCTGGTAAAGTTCTTCTGAAAATGTCTCCACCGGTTTAATAAACGAGGCCAGAGTGATTCGGTGTGCTGTGGTCTCATCCGAGAGCAGCTGCGAGGTGATAAGGCTGTAGGAAGGAGTAGTGAGACTATCAGAGATTCAGTGATGCCATGCTGTGGCTTCCTCCTCCCCGCTGAGGGCTTGTTCACACAAAGGAAAGGCTTGTGATTCACATAGATGGGGGAACGCACCTCCTCAGCAGCGGTCCAGATATGCTTGTGTTGAAATGTAGCTCTCTGCCTTCTTCGCCTGGCTGTATGTAAATGGCAGCTTTTTTAAGGAAAGCACGGTGAAAATGTGTATCAGTGAGACAAACGCCTATAAAAAGATCTCACCTTGGATGTGGTCGGATTTTCATCCCAGCTACAGTGGTTTCAATTGTACTGAAACCAGTAAGGTGGCTCTAGTTTTAAAAAGGCAGTGGCCACAGTGCAGTTACAGGGCAAGACTACGAGCTGGTGCCGATCCAGCCATGACTACTGTGATTTCCATGTGCTGGGTGACACAGCCGCTGTCCTTAAAGTCTTCTAGAGGAACTGGCATTTAGGCGGGAATGCGGAGGAGAAGCTCAGCTACTGCTGCAAGCAGAAAAATGCAAATCCCTGCTTCTGCTCTGGCAGCAGGCAAAAAAAAAAAAAGCAAACCAAAAGCACCTGCCTGGTTTTGTGAGGTTTTTCCATTGTGGCGTTTGGGTACCTCTCACACCGACAGATTCTGTGAACAGCATCTTGGGTGAGAATTAGAAGGTCAGAGAATGCTGAAACTAATAGACCAGTGGACTGATTGCATCTGGAATGGTGCTTTGTGGTTCCATCTTGGCAAAAGGAGAGAGGGTTACAAAGTGCAACAATAAGAACAACAATATGAAAAAAATTCTGGCTATAAGAAGTGTGGAATGTGCTTAATTAGGGGTAATGTGGAGAAGGATGAGAGAGGAGTTGAGGATAATTAAAGGTACAGAGAAAGGTTAATTGGATTCTTCTGTTTAGCTGTTCATAAAATACATGCTCAAGGAGACAGTTGGAAGGACTGAAAATTAAAAGCAAGTGAATGAAATCTCTTTTTGTGCAAGAGCCAATATGGAACTAATTACCCCAGTGACACGGAGAGAAGGAACTGAGGGAGAGGCCCGTGGAGGTTAGGCACCCCTGTGGCTCAGGACTAAAGAAAAGCTGGGTTTGGGTACAACAGTCCCTGTGTTCAGGGCAGCGGCTGCTCTTCCCTGGACGGAGAAGGAAGGCGTGTTTCTCCTGCAGGAAGGCTCTTCAGTAACTGCCTGTGTCGGCACTGCTGGTGCTGCCGTGGAGCTGCCTGGTGCTGCCTGCTTGGCCCAGGCACGTGGATCCCCCCTGCCACCTGCTGTGCTCTCGCCATCCCTGGTCACCCGTGTTTAAGCCCCTCTGTGGAGGCATTTTAAAAATTCGAACCCCCTTATCTCTGCTTAAAGCAAGTGGTATGAAGGTGGTGTAGCAAATTGCTGAGCTCTCCAAAGAGTTTTCTGGAGCTCTGCTTCGATTGCAGGGCGTTCCGCAGCCACGTGATGTACACAAGTGCCGGTGAGCTCAGCCATGAAGCTCAGGAGCTAGTTTCTTAGGAGACGACAAAAGTCTCAAGCTTCCTGGAAGCACAAAAATATCAGTAGGGTGTTTTGGGGTTTGCTTTAGAAGTGTCTTTCCTTGCCTTTCCTGGAGGGAAGCCGGGACCTCTCCCTCTCCCCTGCTGCAGCTCTTGATAACCCTTGGGGCATCACAGCATAGTGGAGCAGGAAGTTTCCCTCCTAAAGACAGGGAAGAGTGAGGTCTCAGCACGGCCACGCTCTGCTCCTCTTCGCCTTTCCTGTAGTAGCACAGCCAAAGACTCCACCAGTGAACCCTGTCCTGGGTGCGGAACTGAGCTGCCTGCCAGGGGCAGCATTGATCCTGGGCCCGTTGCTGTGGAGCCAACTCCTTAATGTGCTGTTTGTTCGACAGAAAACGATCAAAAGTGACGTGTCGGTTACTTTGGTGCGTGTGGAGTACAACGGAGTGGTCCTGGGAGACTCCTCCAAGACCAGCGTCTTGCCAAACGGGACAGCAAACTATAATTTCACGACCAGCTTTGAGTGCAGCCCCGACGGGCCCAACTCCTTGGATAACCTTGCGCAAAAACCTGTGCTCTGTAAGTACCTGACGCTGAGTCTCCCTCCTTGGAGGTGGGTGCTGTCAGCTGCTCCACTCTGCCTGCCTGCCACAGGAGT